GCTAATGGACACCAAAAGAAAGCTGGGGTGGCAATCCTTATATCAGACAAATTAGATTTTAAACCAAAGACTGTAATAAGAGATGAGGAAGGACACTATATCCTACTTAAAGGGTCTATCCAACAAGAAGATCTAACAATTGTAAATATCTATGCCCTTTAACATGGGCGCAGCCAATTATATAAGGCAATTAATAACAAAAGCAAAGAAACACATCGACAACAATACAGTAATAGTGGGGGACTTTAACACCCCCCTCACTGAAATGGACAGATCGTCTAAGCAAAAGATCAACAAGGAAATAAAGACTTTAAATGACACACTGGACCAAATGGACTTCACAGACATATTCAGAACATTGCATCCCAAAGCAACGGAATACACATTCTTCTCTAGTGCCCATGGAACATTCTCCAGAATCGATCATATCCTAGGTCATAAATCAGGTCTCAACCGGTATCAAAAGACTGGGATCATTCCCTGCCTATTTTCAGACCACAATGCTTTGAAACTAGAACTCAATCACAAGAGGAAAGTCGGAAGGAACTCAAATACATGGAGGCTAAAGAGCATCCTATTGAAGAATGAATGGGTCAACCAGGAAAGTAAAGAATTAAAAAAATTCATGGAACCAATGAAAATGAAAACACAACTATTCAAAATCTTTGGGATGCAGCAAAGGCAGTCCTAAGAGGAAAGTATATAGCAATACAAGCCTTTCTCAGGAAACAAGAAAGGTCTCAAGTACACAACCTAACCCTACACCTAAAGGAGCTGGAGAAAGAACAGCAAATAAAACCTAAACCCAGCAGGAGAAGAGAAATAATAAAGATCAGAGCAGAAATCAATGAAATAGAAACTAAAAGAACAGTAGAACAGATCAACGAAACTAGGAGCTGATTCTTTGAAAGAATTAACAAGATTGATAAACCCCTGGCCAGACTTATCAAAAAGAAAAATGACCCAAATCAACAAAATCATGAATGAAAGAGGAGAGATCACAACCAACACCAAAGAAATACAAACAAATATAAGAACATATTATGAGCAACTCTATGCCAGCAAATTAGATCACCTGGAAGAAATGGATGCATTTCTAGAGATGTATCAACTACCAAAACTGAACCAGGAAGAAATAGAAAACCTGAACAGACCTATAACCACTAAGGAAATTGAAGCAGTCATCAAAAATCTCCCAACAAACAAAAGCCCAGGGCCAGATGGCTTCCCAGGGGAATTCTACCAAACATTTAAAGAAGAATAAATACCTATTCTTCTGAAACTGTTCCAAAAAAGAGAAATGGAAGGAAAACTTCCAAACTCATTTTATGAGGCCAGCATTATCTTGATCCCAAAACCAGACAAAGACCCCATCAAAAAGGAGAATTACAGACCAATATCCCTGATGAACATGGATGCAAAAATTCTCACCAAAATACTAGCCAATAGGATCCAACAGTACATTAAAAGGATTATTCACCACAACCAAGTGGGATTTATCCCTGGGCTGCAAGGTTGGTTCAACATCCGCAAATCAATCAATGTGATACAATACATTAACAAAAGAAAGAACAAGAACCATATGATCCTCTCAATAGATGCAGAAAAAGCATTTGACAAAGTACAGCATCCTTTCTTGATCAAAACTCTTCAGAGTATAGGCATAGAGGGCACATATCTCAATATCATAAAAGCCATCTATGAAAAACCTACAGCGAATATCATTCTCAATGGGGAAAAACTGAGAGCTTTCCCCCTAAGGTCAGGAACGCGGCAGGGATGTCCACTATCACCATTGCTATTCAACATAGTATTGGAAGTCCTAGCCACAGCAATCAGACAACAAAAAGAAATCAAAGGCATCCAAATTGGCAAAGAAGAAGTCAAACTCTCACTGTTTGCAGATGAAATGATACTTTATGTGGAAAACCCCAAAGACTCCACCCCAAAACTGCTAGAACTCATACAGGAATTCAGTAAAGTGGCAGGATATAAAATCAATGCACAGAAGTCAGTGGCATTCCTATACACTAACAACAAGACAGAAGAAAGAGAAATTAAGCAGTCGATCCCATTTACAATTGCACCCAAAACCATAAGATACCTAGGAATAAATCTAACCAAAGAGGCAAAGGATCTGTACTCAGAAAACTATAAAATACTCATGAAAGAAACTGAGGAAGACACAAAGAAATGGAAAAAGTTCCATGCTCATGGATTGGAAGAACAAATATTGTGAAGATGTCAATGCTACCTAGAGCAATCTACACATTCAATGCAACCTCCATCAAAATAGCATCCACTTTTTACAAAGAAATGGAACAAATAATCCTAAAATTTGTATGGAACCAGAAAAGACCCCACATAGCCAGAGGAATGTTGAAAAAGAAAAGCAAAGCTGGCGGCATCACAATTCCAGACTTCAAGCTCTATTACAAAGCTGTCATCATCAAGACAGTATGGTACTGGCACAAAAACAGGCACATAGATCAATGGAACAGAACAGAGAGCCCAGAAATGGACCCTCAACTCTATGGTCAACTAATCTTCGACAAAGCAGGAAAGAATGTCCAATGGAAAAAAGACAGTCTCTTCGACAAATGGTGTTGGGTAAATTGGATAGCCACATGCAGAAGAATGAAACTGGACCATTTCCTTACACCACACACAAAAATAGACTCCAAATGGTTGAAAGACCTCAATGTGAGACAGGAGTCCATCAAAATCCTAAAGGAGAACACAGGCAGCAACCTCTTCGAACTCAGCCGCAGCAAGTTCTTCCTAGAAACAGCGCCAAAGGCAAGGGAAGCAAGGGCAAAAATGAACTCTTGGGACTTCATCAAGATAAAAAGCTTTTGCAAAGCAAAGGAAACAGTCAACAAAACCAAAAGACAACTGACACAATGGGAGAAGATATTTGCAAATGACATATCAGATAAAGGACTGGTATCCAAAATCTATAAAGAACTCATCAAACTTAACACCCAAAGAACAAAGAGTCCAATCAAGAAATGGGCAGAAGACATGAAGAGACATTTTCCCAAAGAAGACATCCAAATGGCCAACAGACACATGAAAAAGTGCTCAATATCGCTCAGCATCAGGGAAATCCAAATCAAAACCTCAATGAGATACCACCTCACACCAGTCAGAATGGCTAAAATTAACAAGTCAGGAAACGACAGATGTTGGCGGGATGCGGAGAAAGGGGAACCCTCCTACACTGTTGGTGGGAATGCAAGCTGGTGCAGCCACTCTGGAAAACAGTATGGAGGTTCCTCAAAAAGTTGAAAATAGAGCTACTATATGATCCAGGAATTGCACTACTGGGTATTTACCCCAAAGATACAAAAGTAGGGATCCGAAAGGGTACATGCACCCCGATGTTTATAGCAGCAATGTCCACAATAGCCAAACTGTGGAAAGAGCCAAGATGTCCATCGACAGATGAATGGATAAAGAAGATGTGGTATATATATACAATGGAATATTATGCAGCCATCAAAAGGAATGAGATCTTGCCATTTGCAACGACGTGGGTGGAACTGGAGGGTATTATGTTGAGCGAAATAAGTCAAACAGAGAAAGACATGTATCATATGACCTCACTGATATGAGGAATTCTTAATCGCAGGAAACAAACTGAGTGTTGCTGGAGTGGGGGGTGGGGTGGGAGGGATGGGGTGACTGGGAGATGGACACTGGGGAGGGTATGTGCTCTGGTAAGAGCTGTGAATTGTGCAAGACTGTTGAATCTCAGATCTGTACCTCTGAAACAAATAATGCAATATATGTTAAGAAAAAAGAAGAAGAAGAAGAAGAAGAAGGTAGCGGGAGGGGAAGAATGAAGGGGGGGAAATCGGAGGGGGAGACGAACCATGAGAGACGATGGACTCTGAAAAACAAACTGAGGGTTCTAGAGGGGAGGGGGATGGGAGGATGGGTTAGCCTGGTGATGGGTATTGAGGAGGGCACATTCTGCATGCAGCACTGGGTGTTATGCACAAACAATGAATCATGGAACACTACATCTAAAACTAATGATGCAGGGGGCGCCTGGGTGGCTCAGTTGGTTAAGCGGCTGCCTTCGGCTCAGGTCGTGATCCCAGGGTCCTGGGATCGAGCCCCGCATCGGGCTCCCTGCTGGGCAGGGAGCCTGCTTCTCCCTCTCCCTCTGCCTGCCTCTCTGCCTACTTGTTCTCTCTGTCTATCTCTCTGTCAAATAAATAAATAAAATCTTTAAAAAATAAACAAATAAAATAAAACTAATGATGCAATGTATGGGGATAATATAAGAATAAAAAAAAAATTAAAAAAAAAAAAAAAGACCCTGCTTTCAATTCTTTTGCTGATAAACACAGAAGTGGAATTGGTGGGTCATAGGGTAATTCTATTTTCAATTTTTTGAGGAACCACCATATGGTTTTTTGAGGCAACTGTACCATTTTACATTCCCACCAACAGCAAAAGCACCCTCTTAAACAGTATGTAGCTGAAAAAAAAGAATGAGGTTTATCCACATGTGGTGATGGAGATATGCAAAACACTAAGCAAAAATGGAAGGTGCAACACCATTATTACAGTATTACCCCACTAGCAAATATTAAAAATGGGTAGATAGATATTGCAACATGTATAAAAAAATTTTTGAGAAGACACACAAGAAACAATAGTGGTCAACTTTAGGGAGAAGTACTAGGAAGCAGTAGAAGGGAAGTTGTATTTTTCATTTTATACCTTTCTAAAGAGTTTGTTAGAAGCTATTCTACCATTACTTGAGGCAGAACCTCCTTCTATATCATTTCAATTTCTTACTTTGGGCATAAATTACATATGTATATATGCTAAATATGTGTAAATATAAGTAAATTGTAGGACAAGGAAAAAAGAAATTTTTGAACAGGCTTATGATACTATACTATTTACTTATTTTTCATGCTAATCAAACACCGCCAAAGACATTCCAAAGGTTAGCTGTATTTCAGTAGTTTGAGGCATACCTTTGAGTGTTCTGAAAGGAAGTCTGGAAGGAGATAAACTTGTGCCAACAGCTCTGTGTAGTCACGACAACGAAAATAGTAAATATGGGAAAGAATATTTTCAAGAGTGAAATCCTCCAAAGCTTTTGGGTGCTCTAGAATAAAACAAAACCATCTTAAAATAAAATAATTAGTGTTATTTGTTTTGATATATTGGCGACTGTAGGAAAACAATACCTTTGAATAACAAAATTCTTCGCTTTAATTGAAAGATAACAAAATTGTAACAAAATTACTATAAACTATCATTGCATAATTCCTGACGTCTTATTTTCACCTTTTGCACTATTTGCTTACATGCTAGGCTATCTAGAAATTGTTTATACATATACACAACTAGAGTTTTAATGCCCGCCTTTTCATATTTCTAGTTACTGGCTTCCATTGAATAGAAGTCACATAATGGAATTTCTCTTGTTTTTCTCTTTTATAGGACTGCAAATTAAGAGTTAAAAGGAAAAATGTTCAAAAGAAGCATCTTTTTCCCTTATGGTAACTTTTTTCCTTTATTATTGTAGCATAATTTGATATTTAAGTAGAAACAATGTAAGATCCTCCTTAGATTATATATTTTTTTAAAAACCACTTTTGGGGAGGGGTGCCTGGGTGGCTCAGTTGGTTAAGCGTCTGCCTTCCGCCCGGGTCATGGCCCCAGGATCTTGGCATAGAGTCCTGCATCGGGCTCCCTGCTCAGCGGGTAGTCTTTTTCTCCCTCTCCCTCCACCCCTCCCCACCACTGGTGCTCTCTCTCTCAAAAAAAAAAAAAAAAAAAAATCTTAAAAAAAAAAATTAAAAGAACCACTAGTACTCATATGAAAATTAAAATATCCAGCTATTACACTCATTTAAAGGGAATACAAGCATCTTATGAAAAGTATTTTTTTTTCAATTATTAAAGAATAAGGGGGGCGCCTGGGTGGCTCAGTCGTTAAGCGTCTGCCTTCGGCTCAGGTCATGATCCCAGGATCCTGGGATCAAGCCCTGCACTGGGCTCCTTGATCTGCGGGAAGCCTGCTTCTCCCTCTCCCACTCCTCCTGCTTGTGTTCCCTCTCTCGCTGTATCTATCTCTGTCAAATGAATAAACAAAATCTTTAAAAAAATAAAAATAAAAAAAATAAAGAATAAGGGTGGCTCAGTCGTTAAGCGTCTGCCTTCGGCTCAGGTCATGATCCCAGGGTCCTGGGATCGAGCCCCTAACCCTGCTCAGCGGGAAGCCTGCTTCTCCCTCTCCCACTCCCCCTGCTTGTGTTCCCTCTCTCGCTATGTATCTGTCAAATAAATAAATAAAATCTTAAAAAAAAAAAATGAGGACTGCACATCCAAAAAATAAACTAGAACAGTCAAACCAGAAACCATTTGATTTAAAAGTAATTAAAAGGGCAAGAACTTGAATACCTTTAAGTATTTAAATTGAAATTACCTCTATATGTTTTCTTAAAAAATCAAACAATATTTCTACTTGACAAAAATAAAACTTAACACAGTCATGAACTCAATTACATTCTACTCAGAGCCCCCTAAAGTCAATCGGCTTAATGTTCTAAATATTTCCAACATGGTTTTTCAAAGCTACCTTCCTTTGGTGGAGCGCCTAGGTGACTCAGTCAGCAGGGCGTCTGCGTTCAGCTCAGGTCAAGACGCCAGGGTCTGGGGATCCAGGCCCCACCTCTGGCTCCCTGCTCAGCTGGGAGTCTTCTCCCTCTCCTTCTGCCCCTCCCCCCACTCATGCTTGTTCTCGCTCGCTCTCTCTCAAATAGATAAAATCTTAAAAAAGAAGTGAGGGCCGGGACGCCTGGGTGGCTCAGTCGGTTAAGCGTCTGCCTTCGGCTCAGGTCATGATCCCAGGGTCCTGGGATCGAGTCCCGCATCAGGCTCCCTGCTCCATGGGGAGCCTGCTTCTCCCTCTGCCTCTGTCTCTCTCTCTCTGTCTGTCTCTCATGAATAAATAAATAAAATCTTAAAAAAAAAAAAAAGAAAGAAAGAAAGAAGTGAGGGCCATAAAAGGAGAAGAAAAGGCCAGTCTAGGTTGTGGCATTTCTAAGTCTAAAAGAAAGATCTGAGAGTTTAATACTAGGATGCTGTCAAGTCATTAAGCTTCATGTTCCAAATGGCTTCTTGCTGAGGCTTGAGAGGTACAAATGCTAATTACTTTTATTATAGAGAAAAAGAGGATTACTTGCTAACTTACCCTCTCCCATATGTGTTCCTGCTATAAGGCGAAGGTGCTGAATGCACGCAGTAGCAAGGTCTACTACTCTATCAACCATAAAACTTCCTTCAGTATCAATAAAAACTGCTTCACCTTCCACTCCTCCAAAACATTCTGGTATCTGCACATCTACTGCCAACTGCATACTGTCAAGAGAAAGCTGAATGACCAAATCATCATAATCATCTAAGGCAGTGTTTTTCAAACTCCACATTACCACCCATTAGGTACCACCATTAGGCAACAGAGATGGCTAACTTTCTGCTCCAAATATATATGAATCAACTGATATTTGGATTAGGGGGAGGGCATACCCATAAAACCATGACTAAGGACTTTTTAGTGGTTTTTAGGCCTCTGGGAATGAAACCCTTTCTTATACTAAACCTACCTTCAAATATATTCCCAGGAATTAATTCTATAATAAAACAGAAGAGGGCGCCTGGGTGGCTCAGTCGTTAAGCGTCTGCCCTCGGCTCAGGTCATGATCCCAGCATCCTGGGATCAAGTCCCGTGTCAGGCTCCCCTCCCTCTGCCTCTGCCTGCCTCTCTGCCTACTTGTGCTCTCTCTATCTCTCTGTAAATAAATAAAATCTTTAAAAAATGAAATAAAATAAAACAGAATATTACATGTTTACCCTAATGATCACATTACAATGTTGCAAAAGAAACGTTTTTGGATACCAAAATAATTATATCAATTTAAAGATGGGGTACTGAAGTAACACAAATAGTAAACTGATTTTTGTTTGATGTGCATGCATACACACACAAAAAATTAAGAGCACATACATCCTCTTTTGGTCTCCTGAATGTAGACCCACAGCACCATATTCTATTACTTACATAAAATGTCATTAAGCCTACACTTAAGAAGGGAACATTTTACTTTACCATAATTGTGTTTTTCCAATACCCGGTACACCACAAATTTCTGTTGTTTTAGTTAAGGGTATTCCACCCCCAAGAATATTATCTAGTGCTGAACAGAAGGTAATTATGAAGCTCTGGGTATGCTCCTGCTCAAGAAGTTCCAGTGCTGTACACTTCTTGCCTGACTCAGCTATAGCAGCATATCTTGATTTACTTGTGAGACATTCTCTTCTTATAATTTGCAGAGTTTCCAAGGCTTCCTCTTTAGATATCCCAACTTCTGAAAGTAAAAAAAGAAAAAGGAAAAAACAACAAAACCCAAACCTTGATTTTAGAAATTTAAAAGTCTTAACATGCTATTGGGTTGTCTTCATTAATTTTAATTTTTAGATAGTAAGAGTGATGCCAAGAGTAAAGAAACACAAAAATAGGGACGCCTGGGTGGCTCAGTCGGTTGAGTGTCTGCCTTCGGCTCAGATCATGATCCCAGGGTCCTGGGATCGAGCCCCTCATCAGGCTCCCTGCTCCGCGGGAAGCCTGCTTCTCCCTCTGTCTCTGCTTTCCTTCTCAAATAAATAAATAAAATCTTAAAAAAAAAAACAAACAGAAACATAAAAATAAAATATAACATTCCATTAACTACTGAATTTTTCAAGTTAAAAAAGGCATTCATCTTTGTTTTCTTAGTCTTTATATACTTAAAAGATTTATTACCTCAAAAGCAGAATCCAGAAACCTAAACCTCTAAAGCATTTGAGTACCTACAAGAGTATCTCAGGAGGTAGAAATTAAAATGTATAGGCAGTCAGTCCTTTTACTATCCCTTTTGGTTTTATGAAATCATAGTTATCTTGATCTAATAAGGCATCTAAATTATTTTTTGGGGGCGCCTGGGTGGTTCAGTTGTTATGCGTCTACCTTCAGCTCAGGTCATGATCCCAGAGTCCTGGGATCGAGTCCCGCATCAGGCTCCCTGCTCCACTGGAGGCCGGCTTCTCCCTCTCCCACTCCCCCTGCTTGTGTTCCTGCTCTCACTCTCTCTCTCTCTGTCAAATAAATAAATAAAATCTTAAAAAAAAAATGATTTCTCAGAAGAGAATGAAAATGACCTCTAACCGCCTAAAACAAGATTTAACTTTAAGAAGTTTGTGCATGTATTATTCATAATAAAAACTTCTCATAGAAACACTACCATGAAAAATTCACGTATCACTCCAAAATTTTTAATGAGAACAATTATTTGATGCACAAATACTTTAAACAATACACTTATGCTTCCTCAACTATATAATTTCATTTTTATCAGACAATATGGCTTGAGAAGAGAAAATGGCAATTACAAAACAAGCTGCTAATGAAAGGAATAATGAAAGGTGAGGGTGACATCACTTATGAGTCTGATAGGTCAGTGCCTGATTTGCTTAGGATATGAATACAAATTTGGCACTAATAAAAGACAATAGGGTGATAAAGAAATGAAAATCCTATTTAAAAAGCCTAAATTCTGGAGTCAGATTTCTTGGGTTTGTAAACCCTGACTGAACCACTTATTATGAAGTTACTTAGTATGGGCGAGTTACTTTTTTTTTTTTGTCTCAGATCTTTTTTTCTGTAAAACGGGAAGAGACATATTGAACAGCTGGGTAGGATACCGAGGCCATCCAAAACGCTCAGTAATTGTTAGCTACCATTATCAGGCAGATTCTCTCATTTCTTTTCTGCAAAACCAACTTGTTGAAAGAAAAAAAAAAACCATCAAACTTTGGGAGACAGGGTTGCCTTCTGCTCAGGTCGTGATCCCAGAGTCCTGGGATCAAGCCCCATATCTGACTCCCTGCTTCTCCCTCTGCCTCTGCAGTTCCTCCTGCTTGTCCTCTCTCAAACAAATAAATAAAATCCTTAAACCAACAAACAAAAACGTTGGGAAACCGAACGCAGTGTAAGATTTAGAACAGTTAACATTGGGTCTACAACATTTATTCTTGAGGGGTGAGTTGAAACCTCATTACTTTCCATTTGTTAAGGGCAAGGACTTAAAATTTTGTTCTATCTTACGAGCAGTTCTGAGCATACCCTCGTGTAACATGCACAGTGAGACCGCAGACAGCTTCATTTTTGTTTCTTGTTTTTTTTTTTTTTTAAAGATTTTATTTATTTGACAGAGAGAGAGAGCACAAGCGGGGGAGCAGTAGAGGGAGAGGGAGAAGCAGGCTCCCCGCCGAGCAGGGAGCCCGATGCGGGACTCGATCCTGGGACTCCAGGATCATGACCTGAGCCGAAGGCAGCTGCTTAACCAGCTGGGCCACCCAGGCGCCCGACAGCTTCATTTTTGTATACCGCATGATGATACAGTGGTTCCCACCAATGTTTAATCTACAGTGTTCTGGAATGAGAGGTTTGGGGTTTCTTGTTTTGTTTTTCCAGCGAATTACAGAAGAGAAGCAGTATCTTCTTCCTGTTGCTTTCTCCACGTGCTGGAGATTCTGCTCCCTTTCTCACCTAGTGTCTCTAGTCCTATCACGAATCCTCCATTTCTCAAATATAATCCCTTGCCCCTTGGATTTTGGAACAGCTAAAACTAGACCAGCTGTCTGGGTACCAATCCTGGCTCCGCAATTTCCTAACCCAGTCATCATGAAAAGTTACTTAACCTCCCCAAGCATCTGTTCCTTCATCATATTGGACATAATAATCCACGTTAACAGGGTTCTTTTGAGTAATAGATAATCCTCAAGAGGATTCAGCAGGCACGGGTAGAGAAAGCAATTAGTAAACGTTTTCAGGACCACAGCTCTAACCATTCACGCCCTGTTTAACTGGAGTCAAGGAGCGGTTTCACGTTGCAAATGCAGGCTTGGGCGGAGGAAACTGGCGGAGACAGGGTGGAAACCTGAAGGCGGAAGAATCGAGATGGAGGCGGCACCGACGGCGGTCCGTGTGCCTCAACTTGCCGCCAGGAGTCGTTACCTTTGCTGAGCTCGCACGGTTTCATCTCTAGGAGTTCCTCAGCTGTCTGGAAACCTGCAGACACCAGCTTCACCCGCACCGCTGGCGACAGCGGGAAACTCACTAAGTCCCGCTGCATTTCAAAGCCAAACACCTACGCAGAGTAGCTACACCCCAGTCTCAACTCCGCACGCCCGCGCGCGCGCCGTGTGACGTCAGACGTAAGGCGGAAGGGGCGGAGTCTCTGGCCTGCCTGCACGCGGCCTCGGGCTTGGCCCTTCTGAGGAGGATTGTTGTATTTTCTCCGTAACTGCACGATTTCTGTTGCGATTCTTACAAATCCCTTTTAGGGTTTCCCCATCAAACATACATCCTGGCAGTAAAAAGATGGGTGGAGACCGCAAGATGGAGAGCCAGGCCTTACACACCACATCTCCACACCTCAGCCCTGGACTGTTGGGTGGAACCTCAAGGTTATTAATAGGAATGATCTACCCCCAAGTGGGGGTAACGCACACACTAGCCGCTTACCGGCTTGGGGTATGAGACAGTCATGTAAGGATTAATCGGTGTCTCCATTATAGGGTTCCAGTCTTCTACCCCTTCTCGTCGGGTATCCCCCTTGCCTTCCCCCTTTGCCTTTCCCGCCCTCACCCTCGGCCTCGCCCGCGCGAGGAATTGTGGGCCAGCCCCCCACCGCCACCGGGAGCGCTGGGCGCCCAATCCTCGCCTCCACCCACGCCTTCCCCGCGAGTCCAGTCTGAAGCATGGTGGTTTCTGAGACCGTTGGTTCACGGCCTGCCTAACTTAAGAAGTAGCTGGAAAAGTAAGCAAGTGATGTCCCCGTCGTGGGCTGGGCGTGGGCTCCCGTCCTGAGAGGGAGTAATTGGGCTACGCAAGAGCTCCTGCTCTGGTACAGAGTTGAGAAGGGACCCCTTCTAAAATGGAGAACTTTGAGGGAATTGAGGCGGTTTGGAAGGTGGGTTACGAAGTCTTTCTTTGCCTAAGTGAGTGTGATTTTTTTTAGGGCAGTAACTTGTTCACTACATTTGTTAAGATTCTTAGCCTTGAATTTTTCCCCCTAGCTTAAAGGAACTCCCTAAATATTGCAAATCAGAGCCCTTTAAGTACGTAAGATCTAAGGAAGGAAACATATGTTGAGCACTTTAGCAAATCCCACACATTTCAAATGCTCACAACCGTACCAGGAGGAAAACGAGGACACAGAAGCTTAGAGCATAGTTTTCTTCAAAACAGAACTAAAACCTAGTACCCTTTCTTCTACCCCGAGCTACCTCCAAATTGAGAGCCCCTTTTGGATGGGGTTTCGGGGGTAGAATTCGAGAAATGTCCCCCATTTTGTACGACAGGGAAAGTCTGGTAGGACTGGTCAAAATGTGGATTGTTTGCCACTCAATACCTTGTTTAACTACTGGTATGAGTCACATCTGGGCACACAGTGGGTATTACATAAATGTCCGCGGGGAGAATTCATGCTTACAAAACAACCAGGGTCTTGGGTGAAGAAGAGATGGTGTTAACATATTCAACGACAGAGCTTTACTTGGTTTGCTCAAACTCGATGGAATCAGTCGTGTTTAGAACTTTGTTTCATTGGCTGTGGAGACTTAGGAAAGTAGTTGACTCTATCTGTAGTCATACAATTGTGTGTTATTAACATCTTATTCTGAGCCTTGAGTTGTCTGTAATTATTGTTTTCACATCATTCTTCAGATTTCTTTAATATGGTTTGCTCCATAGTCAGGCTTTCAAACTAGGATCCAGGTTTATGAGGCCAGGCACCAAGAACTGAACAAAACTGTGGGATTTTTATGGACGATACACCTTCCTATGGTGTCAGATTCGCTCAGTTTTTTGTTTTTTTTTTTTTTAAGAGGGAAGAATTGAATGATTTAACTGGTAAGCTATTTAAAATATTTTATGTTAAGTAAACATTAACATACTGTAAAGTAAAAAGCAAACATAAAAATAAATTTTCGAATAAACAAGAATTTGAAGAAAGATCCAGTTTAAACTGGATACTTCAATAGTCTCCCAAAGCCTCCTAGGAATTTTTTTTTTTTTTCCGTTGCAATTTGGCGTTACTTGATGAAAAAGTTTGAGAGTCACTGCTATGGACAAATGAGCATGAGCCTTGAAGTCATACAAATTTGGGTTTGTATCACATCTCTGGAAATTACCAACTGTAAGCCTTGCAGCAAGTTACTCAGTTTCCTCACCTGCAAGTAAAAGATAATAATTCATGGGATTATTGGAAAGATCAAATTAACAAATATAAAGGTTTTAGTACAGAGAGGGTACATAATTTTAGTTTATCCATTTAAAAATACTCTAGATGTGTCTTCAGTTGAATAAAGCTTTATTAAACACCTAGCTCAGTAGAGTGCTAATGCTGAGATGTTTTTTAAGTGCCTACAATTGTAAAGTGCCAAAGGAAAGTGCTTTTACATATTTCATTTAACTTGATGCTTGCAATAATATGTGAATAGTTTACTTGGGTTCCCGTTTAAAATTATTAAGATTAGATCATTTAAGCAAGATTAAATATTTATTAAGTGCCAGTTATGTGCATGGTTACAGGGCAAATGACAGAATTTCTGCCGTTGTGGAGCCTATCATTCAGGATCATTATTGAGCATTTCTGGCTTTCATTGCTATCTAGATATGATACTAAGGGTAGGAATGAGCTATTTCTGCCAATATCTATAGTTAATCTAAGTATTCAAGTAAACTGGTCTATTTTCTAGAGATATGGGAGAGGAGTAATCTGAATATTTCTGTTATAGCTGAGGAGAAATTCATTTTCTTTTTTTTTTTTTAAAGATTTTATTAATTTATTCATAAGAGACAGAGAGACAGAGAGACAGAGAGAGAGAGAGAGAGGCAGGCTCCCCGCCGAGCAGGGAGCCCGATGCGGGACTCGATCCCCGGACTCCGGGATCATGACCTGAGCCGAAGGCAGACGCTCAACCATCTGAGCCACCCAGGCACCCGAAATTCATTTTCTTTTAACCTAAAAATATAGAACTTCTAAAAATGGTGAGCTTGAATGTTCAAGTGGATTTGGGAATGGAGAGAGAAATGAGTGCTGTTTCGACTAAGAAAAAACTTTGAATCAAGGCTTAGCTTTAAAGGTGGTTATGATAAAACTTAAAGCCTCAAACACAAATATTTGGAGTATCAATATCAGTTGTACAAAGCCTTATACATAGTAGGAGCTCAGTATTTATTTGTTGTCCACAAACTCTTGAAATCTCATTTCTGTGATGCCACCACACTCCTGATTTCCTTCATATCCATCTGGCTTTTCTGTCTCCCTAGGAAGCTCATCTTCCAGAACCTGGCCCTGAAATGTTACAGTTCTTTTAAGACCCCATAGCTGACCTTTTGCTGACTATTCTGTTCTCTCTTCTCTTGTTCTCTCATTCTCTCTCTCTCTCTGCTATCTCATTCACAGTTCAGTGACTATATGCCAGTGATTCTTTTTTTCTTAATTTTTAAGAAAGATTTTTTTTTTTTTAAGAAAGATTTTATTTAAGAGAGAGAGAAAGCACGAGCAGGGAGAGGGGCAGAAGGAGAGGGAGAGGGACAAGCAGACTCCCCATTAAAAGCAGAGCCCAACGAAGGGCGTGATCCCAGGACCCTGAGATCATGAGAGATTACGACCTCCGCGGAAGTCAGACATTTAACAGACTGAGCCACCCAGGCACCCCGATTCTTAAATTTATATTTCTAGTCCTGCCCTGTTCTCTCACCTCCAGATGCAAGTATCTGATTGCGTACTGGACAGTGCAAAGGTCTCCAACTCAGCCTATCTTTTTTTTTTTTAAGATTTTATTTATTTATTTGAGAGAGAGCACATGAGTGTGGGGGAGGGGCAGAGGGAGAAGGAGAAACAGATTCCCAGATGAGCAGGGAGGTGGGGCTTGATTCCAGGACCCTGGGATCATGACCTGAGCTGAAAGCAAATGTTTAACCAACTGAGCCACTCAGATGCCCCTCCAACTCAGCCTGTTTCAAACCTAACTTAAGGTCACCTGGGTGGCTCAGTCAGTTAAGCATGTGCCTTCAGCCCAGGTCATGATCCCAAGATCCTGGGATCGAGCCCGCATCAGTCTCCCTGCTCAGTGGGAAGTCTGCTTCTCCCTCTGCACCCCCCTCAAATAAATAAATAAAATATTTAAAAAATATATTTTAAACCGAACTCATTATTTTCTTCAGCCCACTCCCAAAACCTTGTCTTCTTCCTGTATTCCCTGCCTCCATGAATTGAATATCCATCCTTCCATGTGCACAGACTAGAAACCTAGGAATCATTCTCCACACCTTCCCCTTTCACTCCCCATGTTCAATGCATACACAAATCCTATCAATTTTCTCTTTAATATATCTTGATTCTGTTCATGCCTCCTCCTCTAGGCCAAGCTCCTACCATTTTGCTTGTAGGTACTCTATCCTTTTAGCTGGTCTCTCTGTATCTTGTCTTCTCCCCTCTAGTCTGTTCTCCCATGCTACAGCCAGAATGTTCTTTCTACAGTACAGTTTTATATTTCAGCTCATGTCTCTTCCTATTTTGCTCTTTACAGACCAAATTTCTTAGTAAGACTCAAGTCTCCCTTTTAAGGCTCTCACAGCACCAAATGCCTCTGTGTGATCATTTACGTAACATATGTCTCCCTGACTAGATGGAAAACTTCAGTATCGCAGGACCATGTGGATTTTACTCCCTGTTGTTTTTTTAGAGCCCCTAGCCCAGTGTATGGGTTTAGTAGGTGCTCAGTAAATATTTGTTAAAAGAATAGATGATTGACCTGCACCTCTCTCCCTATATTTTTCTATTTTGTACTTTAAAATATGGTGAAAAATATAAACTTGTAGGAAGTATATAGTTGTAGAAAACAAAATATAGAAAATATAAAGAAGGAAATAAAACTGGTTCATAAATTTTCTATTTAATTCACAGATAATAATGTTAACATTTTGGTTTATTTTAATCTTTCTATAAGTTCATATAATATATTTATCTTACCTGTTGTGGTCAAATTGTGAAGAAATTTGTATATCTTTTGTTTTTCACTTAATATTTTGTCAGAAGTTTTCTTCCATGTAATTACAAATTATTTGAAAATTAAACTTAGTGGTTGCATACGTTCTGTCCTGAAGCCCATCTTTCTAATCTGGCTTA